CCCTGTCTCTGTGGACCCACTTGCTCTCTCTTCCTTAAGAAATTCTCACCTGATCCCCATCCCCCAGGCTAGATCAAGTCTTGTAATACACGACAGATGTTATTTGTACACTGTTTATTTCATGTCAGTTCCCTACGCCAGACTGTAGGCTCTGCAAAGTGGCGATTACGTCTGTTTTATTCACCCCTGTATCCCCAGTACCAGCACACTGTCTGATACCTAGTAGGTGCTCAGTAAACATAGGTGAAGAAGTGGATGAATGAATGAATGAATGAATGATCATTATTATTGGCAAGTAGCAGTATCAGGTGTGGGGATCACACACACATCTGGAAGAAAGTTGTTTGAGTTGATCTGTGAGGCTTTTATGAAGACTCTACACCGTGCTTTTCAAATCCCCAGAACTCGGAAGTTCTCACTCATCCTCGTCTGGGTCCAGATCTCCCATTGCCGAGGCTTGAGGCATTTCATGATTTTTTTAAAAAAAATGTCTAACTTCAGTTCAGCAGCTGGTTGCCTCTCCTCTCAGTTTCATCCTCCCAGGTTGGAGATCTCAAGGGAAGCCCCAGTGAGAGTTCTTAACTCAAAAACTGGCACCCCTTTTACTCAGCGCCCCGAGCCCCAGCTTTCCCTGGGCCGCGGTGTTGCTGATAGAGGTGGTCTTCATTTGCATCCACCATTTTCACGCGCTTTGCACTCAGCTACACTGGTATTCAGAGAAAAATGCTGCCATGACAACTGCCACAACAGATGGTATTTGATCAGTCTCCAAGCTACCGAGGAGCTACACAGCAGTGCTTCCGAGGTTTGCATATTTTACGTTATCATGAGACCCAGTCCGGCCGTAATCATGATTGAGATGTGAAGTTTTCCGTTTGCCTCCTACCCCCTCTTCTCTTCCCAGTAGTTTGGCATTTGTTTTGATTTTCCTTGCTCTCTGGCTGTCTTGGGTGGAGATCTGCGTCTGGATGTGGGAGACAAAGGCTACAGCGTGCGTAGTCCACGGGAGTTGCTCTGCCAAGCCTGACGTCAGAGACCGTTGAGAAGCTCTTTACCTTTGGGATGGAGACCAGCTGACACTGGGAGAATGGCTTCATTGCAGGATTTTGCTTTTGGGTGTTCACGGACCGCACAGGGTGGAGGCCGCACGTGGCACCAAACTAAGGGAAGCCCTGGGAAGTGCACCTTGGTCTTGGTCTAGACCCTAACTCTCCCTCACTCACCCAGCATCTGCCTGCTCCCAGGTCTCTGAGCCACACTGTGATCCCACCTCTGGGCTCCCAGCCTGCACCCCAGCTAACCCTGTAAACTTCAGGAACTCCATCCCAGAGCTATGGCAACAACTACAACAGCCTTCTCACCCTGCCCCCTCAGCACCACTGGAATGTCCAAGTTAGCACCGATTTCTTCAGCTAATTTTAGAAAGCAGTTTATATTGGCTGAGATGTGTTAATGAACAGCCTTTGCTGTATTTACATACTTTGCTGGTTAAGAGTCTTTTCCTTTGCGCTACCTCCCCACTTTGACGGTTGCTTCATCTCGCACTACGTGTCTGGATCACACATGAGCCTCCTTAGAGAGGGGCCCAGGGGCACCCTCGTGCTGTAATGAGGTCCGGACTCCTGCCACCCGGTCGTTGCCCTCCGGGACCTGGGTGGCAGCTTGCAGTCTCAATGGGACATGAAGATGGGTGGTTTACCTGGACAGTATTTGGGAAGAAAACCTTAAGATGAAGGTTAATCACATGAGAGCCGGGATCAAAGAAACCTTCTCGCCTTCTGATCTCATTCCAAGTGAAGCCGGAGGTTGGAATTCACATCTGACCCAGCTCCGCTTCCCGGCCCGCTGTCTTCCTGGGGCGCAGATGAGAAGCGCGTGGGTCTCGGCCGCCTTGTCGGGAGTGGTTTTTAACCTCCACAGAGCGGTATTAAAGAGTGGATTTGAGGCTCAGGAATGTTTTCTGAGCTCCTCCTGTGAGCAGAGTGGAAGGGGAAGAAAATTCAAGGCTCTTGATGGGCGTATGAATTGTCTTTTAAATGATGACCCAAGTGCTTGTTTCTAGTTTTAACGTTTTCAGGGAGTGCAGCCCGGCCATCTGTACGCTGCTCCTGTTTCGCCTCTTCAGGAGACGGCACCTCTTCTCCTCACCTAAGGAGGGAAGGTCCTCCCGCGTCCCTTGTTTATATGCTCTGGTTCTCCCTGAAATGGATGGAGGTTGGGGGTGTGCGTCGAACGTGTCTGTGAGCCCCAAAGTGAAGCATCATATAAATGTGGGCTCCTGGACGGGGAGGAGGACTCCGAACCATCACCGTCAAGAGGATTGAGCACCGTGCCTGGCGTGGACATGCGAACAATTATGTTGATTGGATGAATGATTAAAAGGATCGTGTCACTCGGGTGCATCAGTCTTGGCACTACTGACATTTCGGATTGGATAATCCTTTGTTGTAGGGGCTGTCCTGTGCAATGTAGTGTGTCTAGCAGCATCCTTGGCCTCTACCCACTACATGCCAGGAGGAGGTCCCCACCTACCCCCACCCATTGTGACAACCTGAAGTGCTGCCAGACGTTGTCACCAGTCCCCTGAGGGACCAAATCCCTGCCCCTTCTCTCCTGCTTTCCCCCACCCAGTGGGGAACTACTGATCTAAATGGTGAAATTCACTGAAAGAATAACAGGGCTTTAAAAATCAACAGGAGGAGAAAAGTACTCTAGGTAACCTACTTACCATTATCCATGGCTTTAATAGATTTTAACATTAAAAGAAAGCCCAGTGGGTGGCTGAATTGAAGTATGCCAAGGGTAGCCTTGCAAGGAGAAATTACTATACACTTTAAATGATATGTATCGAATGCTCCATGAATAGGGCAAGTAAATGTTCTTTATGTTCCTGGAAGGCTGTTTCTATAGATTACAACACAGAAGCAGAGCAGGGTTTCTCCTGAACATGTCAGTGGGTATCTTTTAATTCAGTGTCACGCAGGTACACTGTCGTTGAAACCGCTCAGCCCAGGTCAGTCCACCTCCATGACACGCGCCAGGATAACCTCAGGTGGACTGTTTTATTTTCCGCATTAACAGATTCAGGAGTGGTCAGCTTTTTGTTTTCCTCATTTTCTGTGGGAACATAATTGCCAAAGCCTTGTTCATCAGCTATGTGCATGATAATATATTAAAAAACAAGATTATAGGAAGAGACAAGGGGTAGAAGAGGAATTTCATACTTTTACCTGATTTAAATACCAGCGCCTCTTTGTGGGGGCGACAAGTCCTTTTGAGTTATCTTGGTGTATCACCACCGTGTTCAGTAGCGTAGATGAGAACTGGTAATTATTTTCTCAAATCTGGGTTTTGTCATGGGGTAAAATAGCATCGAGAGGTATAATTTTTATTATCCTCACAAATGGAAGCAAATTGCCCCAACACACCTTCCACAGGGACTTCCAGCCGTGCTCTTCCTTCCACCCCCGCCCTCCAAGATGGCAGCGCCCGGCTGTGCTGCCAGCCAGTCTGGGCTGGACAGAAGAAGGGAGAGTTAAAAGCGATCTCACTTTTCCTCCCTCTTTATAGAAGTGACGTTCTGTGGTGGTGGCAGGGGTAACCCGTAGCATCCGCATGTATTTAGTTTGGAGGAAATTGCATCCTGCCCCTTTTCCTTGAGATGAAAAGATGCCTCCTTGATGTGACCTGGAGGCCAGGAGAGCGACGGGAGCAAACCTGAGCTAGAAAACACCGGGATGGGGCAGCTGCAGACTCGGGGCTGGTGGAGTCTTCTGACCCAGGTGCATTGTATTTAAGTGTGCCAAAGCTTAAGTGAAAGCATTTGGAAGATGGGAAGATTGAGAGGGAAAGTGCGGGGGGGGGGGGGGTGCGTGGCCTGCAGGAAGATGGCCGGAAGACTGGAGCAGACTGCTCCCCTCGGAGCTGGTGACACGCAGACGCCTCACTCACTGGCTGCGAAGGAGCCATCGGGATGTTGCTCGGGGACAGGGAAGGGAAAAGGTCACCTGTACACCGTGAAAAACAGTCATTTATTCATGAAAAACAAATTCCATGAATTAAAAGCTGGTTTGGGTTCCTAAGAATGCTGGGAGGTCAGGTGCTGGGGAGGTCAGGGGGGTGTTGGGTGGTTGGGGAGGTGGGGGGTCTCCACTGTGAAATGGCGGTGGAGGGAAATTAGAAGATCCCTGTGTCAAGTCAAAGGCAATTTCTTTCACTGGTGGTCACCATTAACGTTAATCCAGCCCAAAGAGTTTCCCGTAGACCAAAACATAATTAGCCCTGACAACTGAAGCTGAATCCGACCTTTGGGAATGACCTAATTGTTTTTTTGTGCGGGCTGGATGTTGGCTCACCCTTGACCATGGCATCAGCCCTGGCAAAGGTGGGAGGCCTCCCAGTTTCTGCCCCGTGGGCCCCTTCTTGCCACAAAAAACACGAAGGACAGAGGGGTTCGGCGAGGTCGCAGCCCACCCCGGTCCTCTGCGATGCCTGCCATCCTGAGAATTTTGTGAGTAAACACTACCCGGATTCCTGCTGAAACTCCCGTTCATGTTTGTACATTTGACCGCCTACTGCCTTGGTGGCTAGAAATTTCTCCCAGCTGCTGGTAGACGGGTGGGTCTCCTAACCTCGTCCCCACCTCCGTGCTTCTGGCAGCTGCTCACGTTTTCAGGGTTGCACCGGTGACGCCGATCGGCTCGGGAGCTCCAGTTCCACCCTGGTTATTTTTGGCAGCTGTGAGCCATCTGAGGCCCCGACATTTGGCTCTGTGTGGTTGGGATATTAGGTAACCTCTTCCTGTGCAAGTACAGACAAAGGAGAGTCCTGACCTGCATCCATTCCTGTCCCCCTGTTTTGCCCTGTCAAGAACTTCAGCGAATGCACAGGGAAGGGAGCCCTCTCTCTCTGACCTGGCACTTTGTGTCTACTAAGAGGTAGCTCTGGAGAAGGCTGAACGTTTATTGAGTGTATGTTGTTGTGTTTGTTTTTCCTCCTAGATTGAAAACATAGATGCCTGCTTGAACTTTCTGGCAGCTAAGGGGATAAACATTCAGGGGCTGTCTGCAGAAGGTGAGTCAGCGCTCGTCATGAAGCTGCCTTTTCGTCATTAGGAATGCCCACCTGTTACTGATTGACAACATGAATGCAGTTAAGACGCGAGATGCTGGTGGCCTCTTCTGCTTTTGTCTTCCTTCTGGTTGGGAGGCATCTCAGTGCTCGTCTGGACTTGAGGGTGCCAACTCTCTGACAACCTAAAGAATCACTCCCGGAATGCGCATTCAGCCACGTTGGCGTGTCTGTCAGAGCAGTGAGACAGAGCTCGCTTCTCTTTGAGAGAGGGGCTGAATCAGACAATGCTGATTTCATTCACCTGACTAGTAGTCCGGTTAATTATCAAACCAGGCCTTATCTGTGGGAGAGAGAACACTTAACCACAGGATGTATTTAAACTGCATAGTTCCCAGGGAGAAATGCCCAATCCTTATCTTTCACTTTTATGAGAAGAAGCAGTACTTTTCCTAGCTTGGAAAAAAAACAAACATTAAAAAGCCCTTGCTATATTAATGAGATGCTACATTGTGACACCCTGATTAGTTTTTAATTAACTCAAATTTGGTGGCTCATTAGCACATGAGTGTTCACTGGTGGTGCGCTATTCAGTTAGGGCTTGGTCTGGTGTGAATTCCCAGCCTCCTTGGGCCGCCTCTCGCTCTGGAAACTTTCCCTTTCGCTCCTAGTTGTAAATACAAGCAGCTGCCAGCTCCAGAGCTGCCATAGGCCCCGGCATCCTCCCAAACTCATTAGGCTGCACCTGCCTCCACTTTTCCCGGAACAGGTAAAGCAGTTTGGGTTTCGGATGACACCACTTCCCCCTAGCAAGGTTGGGTTCCGAAAAGATGCCTGCTAGCATCCACTCCGGTGGTCAGGGTGGGGAGGAGGGGAGCGGTGAGGAAGGAAGCAGCCCTGTGGAGCAGGTAAGTTTGCAAACGTGACGGATTCCTTTGGGGCCTGCTTCTTGCCTCTGCTCTGCTGTGCAGGGAAAGCTTGCTTTTCCTGGCCGTGGTTCCGAACTGCAGTCTCTTCCAGGGTTGGGGGCAGGGGATGGCCGCATCCGGTGCCTCGTGGGTGTGATGTGTCTCCAAGTGGAACTCCCCCTGTGGGCACTCCAGTGTGTGGGGCTTGTCGCACGTCATGCACGGTCACACTGCTGCTTCCAGAGCTCTCTGAAGCAGCTGTTGGGTGGGGGGCCCTGTCCCAGCTCTGAGAGGAGGGTCCTTGGTGGGTTCCCTCTCCCTTGGGGCGTGAGCCCTCCTCCAGAGGGTTGAGGTCTGGGTGGAAGGACATGTGGGGTTCACAGTGCTGGGGCACAGGGTGATTAATGGGTGGTGTTTCATGGACAGGTAGGGAGACACAGGTTACCCTTCTGAGAAGTGTATTTTCTTCTGGTGTAGAGTTCTCGGGCTGGCCTGTAGGTGGCAGGCACATGCTCCTCCTGGTTGCTGGGAGCGATTGGACCACTGGCCTGTGCCCCTGGGCAGAGCATCAGCAGGGACTTGTATGGAGTCTTGCTGAGCAGCAAGGACCCTTTCTGTTGTGGGCCTCTGGCCACTCTGCCATCTCTCTGCCCATTGCCGTGCCTTCTGTCTTGTTCGTCTCCACACACCCCCAACCATTGAAGTTGGAATTTATAATAGGCTGAGTTTACAGGTGTGGACACTTGGGCTTAAAAAGGTTATGAGTGACATCCCTAAGGCTTGTAGCCAGCAAATGACAGAGTCAGGACTTGAACCCAGGTCTCTGTGATTTCAGAGCTTGCGTTCATGGTGCCTTTTTAGGACAGCAGGTGGATAAAATCTAGGCATGCCATGTACAGGTGGAAGCCAGGAAAAAAGATTGAGAAGTTTTGTTCACTGGACCACAGCGTCAGAAGGTGCCATGGAGCCCAGGGAGGCATGTGGTGCAGACGCTCAGCCCTCGCCCCTTGTAGATGTTGCAGCCCGTGAGTCTGGGTGGAGAGAGGCACAGGTGCAACCAGTGTGTTGCGGTATCAGTTACTGGGGTATGACCATGAAGTGGGCATTTATGGCATTTCAGTAACTGCCCCCAGCTGTGCTATTCTGATCCCCTATCTTTTCTGCTGAGTTGAGACTCACTCAATGATATCTTGGCTGAATCTGTAACTCTTCAGTCATGCTCATCATTAGAACAGTGTTATGCCAATACTTATGACTCAGTCTTGTGCATTTTTAAACTTTGAGCTCAGACTCCACTCAGAGCTCCTTTCCCCCGTGCCTCCCAGTACAAGTGGCTTCGGAAGGTGGAAGGGGGACGCAGGCGTGGTAATGTCACTTCCTCCCCCTTGCCTCGTCCCTGTGCCCGAGCCTCCAGGACTGGGGCAGCACAGGGAAGCGCAGTTCGGCTGGTGGTGGAGTTGCTGTCTTCCCCTCGGGTAATTGCTACTGTCCCCAGGTGGGAGGGTCTGCCCTGCTGGCTGGGGACTCACCACCATGCTGCTTCCCGGGCCTTGGTAGAATTTTGTGAGATTTGACCAGCCCTTACAACTCATATCCAGCTGGTCCCATCCCCTGATCCAGGCCACCCTTTGTCCCCATGCTAAGGTGCTCCTGGTAAGGCTGCAGACCTCAGTCACGTGGTCCTTCCATTATTCACCATCGAACCAGCAGGCAGGTGTGGGCTCCATCTTCCACTGCGGTAGGCAGAGCAGGCCTCCTGTCACCTGGAAGTCCCCCACCATGGGACCGCTCCTCAGCTCCTTCCCCTCACTCAGGTGTCCAAGAGGCAGATCTGCCAAGTCTCTGCTAAGCAGGTGTCCAGCTGGGCGCTGGAAGGCCAGCACCCCCACTTAAGAGTGATTCCTCTACAGCCTCCTCGTCTTTGACTACAAGGAGTGCAGGGGCCCCACCTTCTTGCTCTTGGTGAGGGGAGAAATACCCTGACTCTGTGATCATCAAACATTGCCACCCTCCGCACCCTCAAAGCCATTCTCCCATCTAGATCTACTTATACTGATTTCTTGGGAAGTGAGGGATGGTGTTTGGTGGTTAGGCTGATTCTGAACTTGTACAGTCTTAAGGGATGGTGACTGGCTCCAACCTTTGCCAACTCCCTGAACTTAAAAAGCAAGGGTACTCCTGCCTGGTGTGGCTCAGTGGACTTAGTGCCAGCCTGCAAACCAAAGGGTCGCCTGTTCGATTCCCACTCAGGGCACATGCCTGGGTTGCAGGCCAGGTCCCTAGTAGGGAGCACATGAGAGGCAACCACACACTGATGTTTCTCTCCGTCTCTTTCCTCTCCTTTCCCCTCTTTATAAAAAAAGAATGAATGAATATAATCTTAAAAATAAAAAAGCAAGAGTACTTAGAGCCTTTATTCTCAAACGGACCTTACAATTTCAGAGTTAGAGAAATCTCACTTGACATACTGTTAAATTGTGGGAATAGAAGCCATTCATTAAGAACTCACCATGTGTCAATCACTGAGCTATTAATAAATGCCGTAACATTTTACATCTTGTGCAATCTCCCAGCAACCTTACGGGGTCAGTGTTCACATCATCCCAGTCACACAGATGAGGAAACGGAGGCCCAAAGAGGTTAAGTTGCACGTGGGAAAAGGGAGGCCCACAGGTCAGCAGTGGGTAAGCTTCTCACATCTGCTGATTCAAAGGCCTGGTGTTTTCTACTGCTCACGGCTGCCCACACTTCGAACCACCTGCTTAACTGCTAGACAAGCATTAAAGTGCTTAAAGAAATAATGTAGTTTTAATGCTTTTTATTTTCCTTTTGAAGACGATTGAGTGCCTCGAGGCTGCTCCTGATGGAAAAAAAATGTGTATATATATATATATATGTATATCAGCAGTTGGAAAGCCCCATGGGCACATCTCCACCCTTTCTCAGTGACTAAAGCTGGTTTGGGACTCAGCAGAGTGTATGTACCCGTCCTTGAAGCATTTCAGCAGCTCGGGCCCTGCCCCGACCTGCCCGGTAGAAAGCCTTTGTTCCGGGCACAGACAGCAGATGCCTGCGGCAGAGGCTACAGGCCGAAGTGAGCCTGTGGAGGTGTCGCTGGTTGGAGGCACATCCCCTGGACCAGGCCTCCCTGCCCCCTCGCTGTTCCCAAAGGCTAGACCCTTTCATTTGCTCTTAGAGCCTTGCCAGAGTCCTGTGAACTTGGGCCTCACCCTGCCCTGGGTGATTTTCGACATCCCTTTAACCCCTCCCCAGCCCACACGCCACCTGTCACGGCCATCTATAAACCTGTCCCTGGGAGGAAGTATGGCCTTTGTCCCTGGGAGTTTGCGAGCGCCTGGGGTTTGCGCCCGCTGGCCCTGAGCCCATCTTCCTGTACGGGAGAAGCAGTGGTCCCGAGGGATGGCTTGTCCTGTGTAGCTCACCAGATGTCTGCTGGGCATGTCCTATAGGCCGGCACAGCACTAGGTGCTGGGTTGCACAGAGAGGCGAGGCAAGTTGTAAAAAACCAACCTTCATTCCAGGTCATCAGAGAGCCATGCTAATGGTATGTCCAGGCTCCAGTGGTGCCCAAAGAAAGGCAGTGACCCGCTCTGCCTGGGGCAGTCAGGGGGCTTCAGAGAGACCCCGATGCTTCCCCTGGGTTTTACAGGATGCTTCCACATCCACCAGACAGAAAAGGAAGGTGAAGAGAAATCTAGGCAGGAGATGGGACCTGGGTAACAGGATGAGAGCCAAGGACTAGCTCTTCACCAGTCTTTCAGACTGGAGGAGGAGAGGCAGGAAGATCCTTCCTGATGCCTTCGGGAAGGAGTGTATGCTTTTGAAGTGAAACCAGTCGCTGACTTGAGCTCAGACCTGGGTTTTCTGCTCTGACGTCCAGAGACCTAGATGCTGACCTTGCTTCTCCTTTCATCCTGAGCCAGAACTCAGGAGGTCTTTCTGAACCTTTTGCCTAAAAGCAACAGGTGAGTTTGGCGGTGCATGTGGGGTCATTTCTGCCCCTCAACCAGAAGGGGCCCTGTAAGCTCTGCTTCCACCCCCTCAAGCCACTTCCCCTGTGGGTAGAGTCATCGCCAGTTTGGCAGGCTGTAGACAGAAGGGCTGCAAGAGTCAGGTGGAAAGTTAGACGGTGAATGCAGGTGGAGTAGAAGGCCTAGCTGGAGGAACAATGCCGTTCAATCAAAAGTCCCCGTCAGTTGGGCAGAGCCTTATACCACCCACTGTGGCTTCAGGCAATTGAATAGGAATCCTGCAACTCTGTGGTCTGAGGCAACCCTCCCTTTGGCTCTGAATCTCTGCTTCCCTACAAAGCAGGTTTCTTTGTGTTAGATTATTCCTTTGTAAACCAGGCCTGTGGTTTCTCTTAAATAATGTTGAAAGAAAATAACTCTCCTATTTGTTCTATCCTTTGTGCCCAGCCTTCCCTCCAGCATCTATTAGCACCAGCCAATGGGAACAAAGAGATCAGTCAGAACCCAGAGAAATGCAGAGTCAAGGCTACTGAATTCTAATGGAAATTGGAATATGGTTCCGTAGTTTGCTCTTCAGTTTACATGGGAGTTTACATGAGGGTGGCCACTGAAGAGAAAGGAGAGCAGAGTTCCTATGTTGATTTAGACACCAGCTAGCCAGTGTGTCCTTGGACAAGTCAGCTCATTCTAGGTCTACATTGTTTTCCTTCTTAGGCATCAAGAGCGTGAGGGTAGTGGATTAGATACAAAATGATACTCTTTCCGAAGCCTTGGGAAATGTCCCGAGGGAAACATTTGTGGGCTGGCAGAATGACATTTTGTTTCGAGGGGATCTGTGGGACCCATTTACCAGGCCTCAGTGAAACCCAGACAGATGCCATTTGGAACTACTGTAGGGACACAGTTCCAGCTGTGTGGCAGACTATCTGCCGCAGACCACCCATAGCATGAACTGTGTGGCTCTGCACCCCAGACAGAACTGTTAGTTTTCCAAAGTTCTCCACTCTTGAGTTTTATCTTCTGAGAAGAAAATAAACAGTCCAAATGTCCACCAACTGACTGGTGCATGGGTAAACCAAATGTGGTATGTCCATACACTGGGGTAGTAATGCTCAGCAACATACAGAGACTCGTGGCAAATACTCTGACACAATGAACCTGAAATACGTCATGGTCAGTGAGAAACGGCAGCTGTGAAAGACCACCTATGGCACGTTCCCTTTATGTGAAATGTCTGGAAAAGGCAAATCTGTCGAAACAGAGCGCAGATTAGAGGTGGCCTGGGACTGGCGTGGAGTTGAATGCACGTGAGCGTGAGGACTCTTCAGGGTGTAAGGGGTATATTTTACAACTAGATTGTTACTAAACTTACTAAAAAGGATTGTACATTTAATTTTATGGATGTGAATTATACCTGGGGAAAAAAGCTGTTAAAAAAAAAAAACAGAAAGGTCACCACTGAGTTTTCTGTAACGTGAGATTAATTCCCTCCACGACACCCGCGCCTGGCACAGAGTGGCTGCGCAGGGACTGTGGCCAGCTGGGGCTTCCTTTGTTCGGGCGAGGAGCCCGCGGTGAGAGCTGAGGACGCTGCAGGGAGAGGGACTGTATTTCCTGAACCAAAGAGGGAAGTACTGAGCCAGGCCGTGTCCCAGGTGCTTTGCACACGTTTTCTCATTGAGTCTGCACTTAATTCTCGTAACAACCCGGTGGGAGAGGTGTAGCACGCATCTGCCCATTTTAAAGACAAAAACCGAGACTCAGAGCTGAATCTCGCAAGTAGTCAGAGTCTATAAACCAGGGACTATAGAGATGTAAACCCAGGTCTTGCTGGCTCCAAAAGTCGATGTCTTTTTGTAGTAAAAACGTTGCCTTCTGAGAAAAAGTGTGTTCATGGGAGCATTGTGCTCTTTGACAAATAGAAAAGATGCTTTAGGGAATCATGCAACAAACCATTACACACAATAAATGACTTACTGGCCACAACAGGTAGAGAAGGCGACAGAGCTGGCTCCTTGCCCGCCAGGGCCGGGCTGCTAGGCTACGAGGAGGCCAACGCGGGCATGGCAGCCTGTGGCAGTGAGCAGCCTCTGAGCCCCGAGATGTGCTGATGTGCAAGTTCCTTCTTTGTTTTGCATGCCGTGGTTTAAAAAATGTGTTATGGAATGTTTGACACATTCCATAAGAAAAGGATACTTACTGAAGAAGAATAAAGAATACTTAGATGACCACCAGCTATAGCTTAATAAAACATTATCTGGTGTGCATTTAAATTCACTGCACAGGATGAGTATACAAGCAAGCCAAGTTTTACAGGGTGAGGAGACCAGGCTTTGAGCCAGAAAAACCTAGATTCAAATCCCAGCTCCAGCATTTATTACCTTGGGAGGCCATAAAATTTTTCTGACTAAGAGAGGGATACTAATACTAAAATTTTATGGCCTTTTAGTATACTAGTAAATTTTAGTATACTAATTTCCCTCAGTAAGAGAGGGATACTAATGCTCACTTCCCAGGTTGCAGAGATTGAGGGAGATCATTCACGGAAAGATCATTCACCTGGTACACCCTGATTGTAAAAGACACTAAAAGCCCTACCTGGATTTCATCTATGAGGAGAAATGGTCTAATACCCAAGTTCCATGCCTGCTTTTGTCTCATCTGGAATCTGTCCCTAACTCCCACCACTGTCCAGCAGGGTGACCACGGGTGTGTCACTTCCCCTTCTGTTTTTCCAGGAGTAAAATGAGCCAAATGCATTGTCCCATCCGAGCCTCCCATTCCCTGGCCTTGGTGCACTTGTGAGAACATTTAGACCCAGACGTGTGCTTCTCCTTTGGTTTCCTGAGGATGAAGCAGAAGCAGAGTTGAAGGCTTAAAGCCAAACTATCCAAGGAAACTGGGAGGCTTGGCCACCTCTTTGGACCCTTCTCTGTCCGCTGTGTTGCACACACAGTGATTTATGAGCATCCTGATTTGTCCTTGTCAGTCGTGGCTTCCACTTGTCATCCTGGTGTCATTAAGAGCACTCTCTCCCACATACACACTCTCAAAGGTGTTATGGTTTGTATGACAAATTATAAGGGTTTTTCACCATAGTAAAAATCCTCACTTTTAAGGAATGAAGCTGGAGCTGTATGGGAATCTCCTATAGGCCACTGGGTCTACACTCGTCACACTGTAACCGAGATCGGTGAAGGACCTCACTATTCACGGCATGCTTTCAGTACCTGCTCCCTTTTGACCTGCAGGACAGCCTTGTGGGATGGGGCAAGCTGCATCAACATTGCCACCAAGGCCCAGAGAGATTCAGGGACTTGCCCAGGGTCGCATAGCTAGTAAGTGGTAGAGCACAGGCTGGAACTCATGGCTTAGGTTTTCAAAAGCTACACTCCTGTCAGTTTTGTCCCTGACAACCAGCACCTGCTGGCTCCCAAAGTAGACAGTGAAGGCTGGATTCTGGGAGTTCGTATTGTCAGTTTCTCCAGAACTCAGCCTGGTTAACCCGCAGCCCCACCCAAGGCACTGGCAGCCCCTCTTGGGTCCCCATTTGCACCTCTGCCCTTCTCTGGTTCTTGGAGGAAACTTGTTTCCTTTATCAGCAGCTTCTTCCCCAGCCTGGGGCTAACCTGGGGGTCTGTGTTACCCACACAGGTGAGGCTTCCCTTCCTCCAACACCCCCTCCCTCAGCTTAGAGAGCCCCCTTCTGCATCCTTCATGCTGGGTGGTCCTATCATTTCACCTTCAGGGTCAGCTGAGACCCTGGTTATCACATCTGGTGTTAAAAGATCTGCATGTGAAAATGGATTGCCCGGGGGAAAAACACCCTTGCACATCTGTAGCCTCTGCCTGTGAATTAATATTTTATTCCTTCTCTGCAACTCTTCACATTTTAACATCTGAAAAACTCCTGTATAAAAATATTCTCATCTCCATGCTGCTCTAATTTCTTTTGGTATAGGAGAATTTATGCATGAGTTCTTCATAGAAGCAAGTCCTCTAGGCTGTCCCCGCACCCATCCCAAATTGAAATTATTGATTCAGCGGACAGGGGAGACACAGAGCCACGTGTTTGAGGGCAGGGTGACCAGGTACAGCTGTGCAAGGACTGGGGAGGGGGACAGCAGCCACGTGGCACGTTCCGGGTGGCTTGAAGCATAGAACGCGGGCTTGGTAGAGCCCCGTGAAGACCAGTGAGTTTTCCCCGCACCAAGGGCTCCTCCGTCCAATGGTTTGCCTTGCTGTTGGAACAAGCTCCGTCTTGCTCGGGACTCCTACTTCTCTGCTTTATGCCCTCACTGAGAGTTTCCTCCGGGCATTTGCCAGACATCCAGTTGCAACTTGCCTCGTGTATCCACTCTAATCCCAGCAGGGAGAATAAGCTAATTTCTCCGTGGTTGAGGCCTGATCTTAATGGATTTGTGATACCAGGTACATAAGAGTTCAGGAAATCTGTCCTTTCCTGGAGGAATGCAGCTCATGTGAGGGCTGCAGCAGCCCATTGAACTGGAGCAAGAAAGGACTCCTCCGCTAACCCCTGTCTCCGTTGCCTTGCAGAAATCAGGAATGGAAACCTCAAGGCCATTCTAGGCCTCTTCTTCAGCCTCTCCCGGTACAAGCAGCAGCAGCAGCAGCCCCAGAAGCAGCACCTCTCCTCGCCTCTGCCGCCTGCCGTGTCCCAGGCAGCCGGGGCCCCCTTCCAGTGCCAGGCTGGCACTCCTCAGCAACAGGTGCCAGCCACTCCCCAGGCCCCGTGCCAGCCTCACCAGCCAGCACCACATCAGCAGTCAAAAGCACAAGCCGAGATGCAGTCCAGGTGGGAACTCCTTGCCAACTGATAATCCTGTTTTCTCGGGCCCTCCTTCACACCCACCGAATTCTAGCCTATTCGAATGTGTTTCTTATTCGTATTTCTTCAGTGCTGAGAACTCCTGGTAGGGAGGAACGAGCAGGACCTTGAAACCGAGGCCACCTCCTGGGCCTGGCGGCGATGTGTACTTTTTAAAGTCAGAATCCCCGGCGGCCAAAGCCAGTGAGCTGCTCCTGCCTTAACTCTGCCCCGTGACACACTCAGGCTCCCATGCAGTAAACAGCCCCTGAAATAGACTGCGGGCGTGTTTTGTGTGTTTGCCTACTAGCTGGGTTCAGTGTTACATGTGCGAGTAATTTTACTTACTGGGGGCCCGGGTTGTCCTCCAGCAGCTAGCTCTGCTTTGCCCAGAGAGAAACGTTAAGAACGAAGAAGAAGAAAGATGGCAGGTGGTCCTTGGCAAGCAGCCACTCTCCCCGGGAGGGCCAGCGTCCCCGGGTGGGACCAGGGACCATTACATGTGCCTGGGTTAGTTGGCCCCGAGTGTTGGGAGGGGTCTGCAGTGGCCCTCTGCTCTGCAGCACCAGGGCCTGGGTTTTGTTGGTGGTCCCAGAGGGCCAAGCCTGGCCGGCGGGGCTCACCACAGAACGCTGTGCACTGTGCGAGCAGAGGGCCAGGGCAGCGGCTGTCCGCTGTGTGGCCGTGGCAGTAGTCGCTCCCCTAAACAACTCTGTGGAAGGTCACCTTGTAAAATGTTTGTTTTGATGGCAGAAAAAAAAAGGATATTGGGAATTAGAAAGTTTGAGAAAAGTCCAATAATTGTTGTTTTTAAGCGTTAGCTATCAAACTTCTGTGTCACGGATCAAATTGGTCACTTGTTTTTATTTAACATGTGCTGAAGAGTAATGGCCTGCTGCCCCCAGTCCCAGAGCCCTGGCATGGTCGCCACGGGGCTCCTTGCACACCTCCACACCCTCGGCAGCCCGCTGTGGTTGGGTGAAGCACAGAGCAGTTCAGACAAAACAGGGGCCTCGTGGACAGTTTTTTCCCAACGTGAGAAGTGCTGTTTCCCAGTTGTGGTGTTGGTAAAACCAGCGGTGACGGATGTGATGTAAATCAGAGCCCCTCATGAACGATCCAGTTGTACCCAATTCACACTACGGAAATCTGCGGGCTGGCGGACATACCTGGGCCACCAATGAGGAGCAGACGGCCAGGCAGCCAGCCAGCCTCTGCACCCTTTCCCTGAAGAGCCCTTCTCCCCTCAGAGACTCCCTGCCCGACGACCTGCATGATAAAGCAACCAGGGCACCATTTCCCACACTGATTCTTCTGGGTGCTTATTCCCCGGATGATAGCTTGCCAGGGGGAGAGTCCTGTCAAGGAAAAATTGGGAAATAATCTGGGTCAAGCTGTTATAACTGTTTTTGAAGTTCTCAGATCCTTGAGTCTGTTCACACACATTTATTTAGTTGGTGCTTGAATGACTTCTGTGAGCTGGCTACTGTTCTAGGTCCCCAAGAGATCAACGGTGAATGAGACAGCTGAAATGTTTGCTCTCTACATTCTAGTAGAGGAAGCAGGCAAGTAGAGAGGGAAGAGAAATATCAATAGTGGTGTTGCAATAAGATTTGGGGATTCAGAAGGGTGGGGTTTATAGGACGGTCTCTCTGAGGACTTGACATTGAAGTCAAACTATGAACGACAAGGAGTGAGCCAAGCAGAGCTCAGGTGTGGAGTAGATCAGTCAGAGGGAGCAGCTGATGTGAAGGTCCCGTGATAGGAACAGCTTGGCAGATTGGAGGAGCAGAAGAGCTGGTGTGGTTTAAGCTCACTGGGTGGGGGTCGTGAGGCGTTAAAAGGTGGCCCAGAAGCAGAGAGGGCTGCCACTATTTCCATGGAGGACAGTGTGACTGGTGGCCTGTGGACTTGAGCGGTGCTATGGTTCTGAGGACAGGTCACAAAGTACTGGCCAAACTGGACTAAAAAGTTTGTATTTCATTCTGAAGTGAACAGGAGGCCGCTGGACAGTCTTGAGAAGGAGGGGGAGTTGATTTGATTTAGAATTTTTTAAAAGGTCCCCTGTGCTTCTCTCTGGAGAGTAGGCAAAGGAAGAAGGCCCCCAGTTCAGCAGCTTCTGTCGTCCTCTGGGTGTTAGTGGCTGGGGTCAGGGTGGTGGAGCAGATAGAGGGACCAACTCAGCATATTTTGGAGGATGAGCCAACAGGACTACAGATAGATTTAGTATCTGGAATGAGGGGGAGAACACTCACAGACAAAGCCTAAATTTCTGGCTTGAGCATTGAGGGAATTGGTATTTATTGAGATAAGGAAGCCAGGGAGGGGCATTGAAAACCTGGCACAAGAACTCTTATTTTATAGAGCATCTCGCTGCCTAAAGTTCCAAGGAACACGTGTGGAGAAACCCTGGGCTTGTGTCACTGGGCCGGGCCAGCCTGAGGCATCTATCTTCATTGTAGGCGTTTGTTTTCTTAAAAGTCAGGACACCCATCTGCCAGTAAGGAAAAACATCCTGCTATTAATAAATGCTTTATGTAAAGAAGAGTCAAACTCACTTAAGCCAAGCTTTTCCATTCCAGGATGGTTCCTGCCATCATGGTGGGGACGGGGACTGGCATTTGGGATTGCTGTCCATCTCCACTCCTCCTTTCTCTGGTCCAGCTTGGGTTACTTCTGCAGAGGACCGGTTCTATCCATCACATAGGGATGCTTTCTCATGTCACATCCAGAGGTTAATCTCATTTTCCAGTTCTAGGGCTATGATAGCCCATGCTAGCATTCTGGCTATAGGGTTTTTTTTTTTTTAATAGTAAAATTGCCTCACTGGTTCCATTCCTTTGTATTACTATCCCCAAATTCTGCCTTGGATAACCAAAATCACAAAGGTAATGGTTTGAATCCCTGGTCATCAGTATCCGATGTTGGTACAAGCCCCAGATGCCAGGTTTGTCTTGGTCCTGTGTTCGAACTTTGCCACATATGAACGTACCTAAATACTCTATGCCTTGGGATGATGAATACTAAAAGTTGGTGGCTTCTCCATGATGTGTGTGAAAGAGTTGCTGAAGCTGGCCAAGGAAATCGGAGACAGGAGCAAGAAGGAATCAGAGCAACATTTCCAGTGATGGCCAGTTGGAGGGTCCCTGTTAACTCCCTAGTGCAGCTCTTCTCATTAACCTATGTGATGGCTGAGGACTTGACCCACATTCTACCTGCTGACACCCATCACCAGTCTAGAGTCTAGGAGAAGAGCCTGGTACCCAAGACTTGCTTCCCTCTCTGTCTGTGTCCACCTTACATATTACCAGTATTCACCTGTTGACGGAAAACCCGGAAAGTTGCTTTATTTTTAAAAAGTGTTTTGTCTATTGCTTTCTGTCTATTCCTTCACTTCACAAGGAGGTACAGAAAGTATTCCTCAAACTTGGCCACGGAACTTGCCTTAATTTATAGAGCCACATTGTGTTACTCACCTCAGACCCTTTTATGAACATGGTGTGTGTGTGTGTGTGTGTGTGTGTGTGTGTGTGTGTGTGTGTTCCAGAAAGGTAAGTATTCCCATTTTTCATAAGGCAGTAAATGAGTTAAACTTTTTCTTTTACTAAGTCCAACCAAGATTCTTCAGATGTACAAATTTATGGTCCATAGCCCAAAACTTAGTACATTCAGCATACTTTAAATGATCATTTTTATACCACTAAGCAAAAGTTTCCAAGACCAACAAAACGTGCAAACATCTATACCTTTTCTGGATCAACTTTATGGGACACTCAGGGCATTCATCAGAAAAGCACTTATGTGACATAGAACCATCTAAGTACTTCAGAGAGGTGCAACATTTTTTTTAACCTGTCAGAGATCCCTTGCTTTAACATTTTATTGTGGGGAAAAAGGCCTTATAGTGACTGGTTGCAAACAAAGATATTGGGTTTTTAAAAAAGAAAGAAAGCAAAAAGAAAAACCTCATAAGTTTTTGGTAATCTTGATAGCAGTTTCCTCACATTGGAAATTCATCAAATCAGGAAAGTTACACCTAACAAGAATGCTCCGTGTTGTGGGGAAAGTGGGCAGAGAGAAATTCAGGAGCGTTCCCATTGTCATGAGACCCTGTTGTTACCTGTGTGTCTAATGTACCTTCTCTCCCTCACTCAGCTCTTCCACTTTTTTCTTTTCCCATCATGCAGTGCATCATCCAAGGACTCATCTCAAAGCAAAATCATCCGCTTCACTCTGGGTCAGAGAAAGATCTCTAGGTTAGACTTCCTGTCCTGCAAAGCATGGTTTCAACCCAACCCATTGTTCCCTTTGCTCCTGCTATGTCTCCTTTTGGTCCCTGCCCCCGGCTCATGTTTGCAGTTTGAGAAAACCAAACATGCTTTGGCTCATGTTGGAGAGTTCTGAGAGTGGTTGGGATGTTTGTGGTGGGGGGTGGCGATGGGGGAGGGACAGTGTAAGTAACTGAGGTTGAGGTGTACATAATGTTTCTGCATTTCATTGATTTTGGTTTTGATTGCTTGGTCATCAAAATCCATTCTGATTTAGGGAGAGGGGGGTGTCTAGGTGATTTTTGTAGTGGTTTTATGATGAGTTTGGCTTCCTGCTCTCTCCTGACCCTGATCCCACCTCCCCTGCATCTCGTTTATGTGTGCTGTGCTTTTTTCTGTTGTTAAAATTACTAATATGGGTTGGGTTTTCTGTGGAGTTACAAAGACCTGAGACATAACTCCAGTTGGTCAGAGGAGACAAAGCAATAAGGCAGCTGTATCTCTTTTCTGTTCTGGATGCTCTGTGTACCATGGAGAGATCACCTCACTGGCCCGACATGAACAGCAGGCTTGCTCTCTAGTTCTCTTGACTCAAGAATTTGGCGTCCTATCCTTGTATCCTATGAAGAGAACCATTCTAAGGTGTGGGACATGCCGACTACACCATTGTATCTACTGTTATTTTAAAGGTAGCAACAGCTAACACTTCTTGAATGCTTATTATAACACCAGTTTGAATACATTATCTTATTTAATCTTCACTTCAGTCTTCTTGTGCTAGGTCATATTAATTATCCCCTTTTTACAGGTAGTGATACTAAAATTCATAAAGTTTGGTAAGTTATACAAAGTCACACAGCAGCCCTGGCTGGCGTAGCTCAGTGGATTGAGCGTGGGCTGGGAACCAAAGTGTCCCAGGTTCAATTCCCAGCCAGGGCACATTCCTGGGTTGCAGGCCATAACCCCCAGCAACCGCACATTGATGTTTTTCTCTCTCTCTCTCTCTCCCTCCCTCCCTTCCCTCTCTAAAAATAAATAAATAAAATCTTAAAAAAAAAAAGTCACACAGCAAATGGAAAACCCAGGATTTGAGCCCATGTGATCAAACCCCAGCACCCCCACTTTACCCGCTGTATACACTTCTCCGCCTCCTCTTCCTCCTCATTGAATTCTGGCATTTATGTGGTTGTTGAGGCTGCTTTTTAAAATCTTAGGTTTCAACCATTACTTCCGGCCTTTTGCCTCACATTACCCTTATAGTATTTAACAGGAAGAGAATCCCCTGTTCATTATGACTAGTCTTGCTTTTTCATTAAATACTCACTTAAAGCTGATGGGATACCTGTACTCCGATTGTCTGTATTCATGTAACACATACTGAACATCTGCTTGCTGCCCCTCCTCTCAAGCTTTAGGTGCCTTTCCTAACCAGGGTTGACCTTTCTAGAAAGCGTACACACTGGGAGACCCAAGTCAGGATCTGCCTGGCAAGAGTTGGGAGGAGAAGCTGCTCCGTAGAACAAGTCGGCATGTTCCCCAGACTTGGTTCTGGGACCATGTACAACTGGGAATCCACGTTCATCACTGCACCTTGTAGCCACGTGTCTTCGTCAGTTCGGGCCGCTATAGGAAACCACCATAGACTGGGCAACTGAAACAACAAAATTTGTTTATCACAGTTTGGAGGCTGGGAAGTCCGAGATCAGGGTGCTACCGTGGTTGAGTTCTGGTGAGGACCCTCTTCCAAGTATGTAGATGGCCATGTATTTGCTGTGTCCTCACATGGTGGGGAGTAGAGAGGAAGCGAGCTCTCGCCCATCTCATCTTACAAGGTACTAACACCATTGTGAGAGCTCCACCTTCTGACCTAATTACGTCCCTAAAGCCCCTTCTCTGGACAGCATCACATTTGGAAGAAGGGTTACACCTGAATTTGGTGGCAGGTAGGAAGGGACACTCAAACATGCAGCACCACGCTGGTGACTGCGTTCCCTAATAGGACCCAGAGCCCAAGTCAGGACAGATGCACACTGCATGGGCAAACGGGGTTCCCATTTTTTTGAGTGTCCTACAAATGTCCATACATAGGGAAGGAAAGGAGAGGGTGAGCTCGGAGGAAACGTGGGCTTTAGTGTTTGTTCCCACAATATGCTTAATTCTGGGAGATAAAACAGGTGCTAGTGGAGCAAAGATTGCACTGGGAGCACATGCCCATCTCGTGCATGATTTTGTAACGGGTCCCAGATGATGGAAGGAGGCAGCAGGAAGAGGAAGAACTGAAGGATGAGGGCGGGTCTGCCCCTGCCCAAGGGTCCGCTGGGCACAGGGCTTTCAAGCTCTCCCTCTGGCTTCCTTCAGGGTCATATTCCTCACCTAGAGTTTCTTTTGGATGCATTCGGTCACTGATGAGGCCAATAAAGGGGTGCTCTTTGTTTCATTATTTGCATAATCTGGCCTTCCCTTAACTCCCTACTTCCCATCCCTAGTTTAGGGCACACGCCTGATGAGCATTTGAGCTGATCAGTCACCACTAAGTGTAGCAGTAAGTTTGGTTATCCAAAGAAGCAGCTCTACTCCTGGCCGAGTAGGATACCTCTCCCAGAGCTCTGGAAATAGGTCTCTGGTTCACATGCAAACACCTTGAGCTGAACGCCTTGAGATAGGCACCAGGGATATTGAGCCGATGAAAAGCCTCATCCTTGAATCTGGGTGCAGGGAAGGGGCTTATGGAGGGAACTGGTACAGGAATGAAGGATTTCCATATATTTCTGCCTTTGACACTGTTCTTGTCTCTTGGGCATCCCTAGGGAGCCCCAGGTGTTCGGGATCATTCTACCTACAGGAGGCAGTGGCTGAGAGTGCATTTTGGAGTTTATACCTAGTGAAAGTTCATTTTTGCCACTGCCCGTGTTAGCCGGGCACATTATGTAATCTCCCTGAGCCCGTGTTTCCTTACTGGTAAAATGGGATAGTCCTGCCTGACAGTGCGGTGTGGTTTATGTAAAGTCGTCTCTAATCCTCTAATACTGGCAGGTAGTAAGTGCACCAGAACGAGCAGATACGTTGATGTCTGTGTGTGGGGTTGGCCTGGGCGAGGTAAAGCAACCAGGCCACTTCCAGCGCGTCCCACACTGCTGATCGCTACACGGCCATCTTATGCAGAGGAATCAGTGGGGGCAGAAGTTTGGCCCAGCTGTTGAAAAGAAGATGCTAGAGAGAGGAGCGGTTTAGCATTTAATCATCTTGTCTAGCAAAAAGCATCTCTGATGATGATCCCCACCCCCTGCGGCCCTGAGCATGTGCACACAAGCTGCCATCCGTCCCGGGAGGGTCATCTTCTGCTCCCGGCCTTTGAAGTGGTTTTGGGGGGAAGAACAGCTTTCTTCCCACCAGCACGTACAGCGCATGGAGCCAGGACGCACTGGCAGGTTACGTGCCGGGAACTGTGGCGTTACCGCCCTGCTTGCTGGGCGCTGCACATGTCGGAGAAATCGACCATGGCTCCAATAGCAGCAGGTTTTTTCTTCCACCTCTTTGTCCCACCACATCCCTTAAACATAATTTCCTTTAAAAAAAAAAGCAATGTGTGTTATGTTCAAAAGGACCCATCTGTGTCCTCTGTCATTTTGTAACATGTGTGGACATGGAAGGGTCATGAGAAGTGGAGCCGCTCTTCCAAAGGAGCTGCTGGAACCTTCTGGCACTGCAAATGATGCAGGGTGTAAATGAGAGGGTTGACTCGCCATGCTCCTCTCTCTCTGCATTTCTTTGGCGAGGCAGGCGCCCTGGGCAGCATCTGCTCTGCTACCTGCAGCTGTGCCATGTGAGCGAGACCCAGCTCTTCAGCAAAGAGGGACTCTAATGTTCAGACAGCTGCTGCTTCCAGGCTGGGGCTTGATCGAAGTTCTCCTGATGCACAAGGATGTTAATAACGATGAACATCAGAATGGTAGCCAGAGGCCTGGAACTGTGTCACTGTGAAGTAGAAGATAGTCAGCAATGCCACTGTAGCTCTGCTGTCAGCCTCCCTAATGAGCCCTCGCTGCTGCAGGGCAGGACGAAGTTCGAGACTCATACTGACCCCCTTCCCCAAGCCCCAGCACACAGCGGACCTTTCCTTCCTCCACTGCCCTACAGGCTTTCTTCTCCATGTCCCCTCTGCCTCTCACCGTGACGCCCTACTTTCTTGCTCTCTACTCACAGGCCCATCCCATAGGCCACATCTACTCTCGGGTTGCTTTTATTTGGAACCTTCCCCGGCCATCCACCAACCTCCAAGGTTATTTTCTTTCTTGAAATTGCTCCTGAACTTTGCATATTCTTTTATCAGCATGCATGTTATTTAGATGTCAGCTGGAGCCAGTCAGCTCCTTAAGATCTGGGTAAGATTGAATTAGAACCCTGTCTTAGTCCATTTGGGCTGCCTTAACACAATACTACAGACTGAGTAGCTTATAAACAACAGCAGTGTGCCCTTCACTGCACTGGAGGCTGGAAGTCGAAGAGCAGGCACCAGCCTGGCGGGCTCTGGTGAAAGCCCTCTCCCAGGTTGCAGACTGCTGACTTCTCGCCGTGTCCTCACGCACTGGAAGGGCACACTGGTTCTCCAGATCCTCTTTGACGAGGATATTAATGTTGTCTGTGTGGGCTCAACCTGATGACCTCATCGCCTTCCAAAGGCTCCATCCCCTAATAGCACCACGTTGGTCATAAAATTTCTACATGAATTTTGGGGAACACCATAGCAAAATCCTCCTTCACTTGGTAGAAATTTCAGTTCTCTCCCTATGATCGGTCAGGTAGCTTCACACTCTCATGGTCGCCTTTGGCTTTGAAATTCTATATTTGAAGTCTTGTACTTACAATTCAGTCTGAATTAATTCCATTTATACGTGGATTCACCATTCTGAAGAATGTTTTGGTTCCTTCGTGGATAGATCCACCTAAGCCTTTTTCTTTACTTTCCACCCACCACACCTTCGTTCTCGGCCTTTGTGTGCCGGTGTGCCAGTGCACTTCGATAAACATTTCAGCGAGGTGGAGGAGGCTTATTTTGGAGCAGCAACTGTCCAAACCCATTCACAGCAGAACCCAAGTTTTAAAGCTGGTTGTTGGCATAGACTTCCTCTGAAACCTGGAAGAAATTACTAGGTCTTCACCCAGTTGTTCCATTTCATCAAGCTCAGGGAGCTGTCCATTGGTGATGGGGGTAGAGGGTGACAGGTTAGCTTGAGCTCTGGTGGCTTTTGATGGCTAAGTGTGTGTCAGTCATCCTTTATTTTCTATGTCATCTGCCCCCAAAGCCTTCAAGAACTCCTTCTCCACATGTCAGGAACCGTGGCACAACTCCACAGCCCTCTGAAGGATGGAGATTCCGCTCCCATCAAAGGAGCACCCCTGGGTCCTGACTCAGTGGAGAGAATCTCACAGTGACCACCCATGGGAAATGCAGAGCCATCTTAGTTAATCCAAAACCAGGAACGTTTCACTCCGGGGAGTGGGGCTCACAGGTGGCCCAGAGGCACCCCAAGTATAAGATCTCAGTCAGTCTCACAGGGAGTTGGGTGAGCAGTTTCCTCTTCGGGAATGTCCCCAAGGCAAGTGACAAGTCCTGTCGGCCAAAACCTGTCTTGCGTCTTTGAAAATGTTGATCTCAGAATTTTTACAATCTCTCTCCTGATACTTTAACCTAGTTCATCTGTTCCCTTATTTGTCTCTTTTTTGTGCTGTCACTTTTCCTTCATGGCGATGGCCAGTTCCTTCCCAAATCTGTGTGCTCAGCTGAGAGGGTGGGGAGGGGAGCCGACATGCACTGAGTACTGACCACATTAAGGGCAGACATGAAGTCCCATCCCGAGATTACAGCTGTTCTCCCTGGGTGATTTATTATTATTCCAAAGTTACAGATATGAAACCTGAATCTCAGAGAGATGACAAGATTGGCCCCATGTTATATGTGTGGAAAGAGCCCATATTCTATCCATTCTACCTCACAGAGGACCAGACTGCCTGCCTAAGTCGCGGCTGTGCCCGTCCCATCCAGCACTTTAATTACTGCCTCTATAAAGGCCCTGTGCTGCCGTGAACTGTGGTTCAGCCCAAGGTCAGGGCAGTGGGGGTCCCCAGCAATTCTGAAAGGAAAGCACCATTTCCCTCCTCATTGCTTTTTGCATCCTTGCTCTCTGCAAACTCCCCACTGGAGTAGAATGTGGTGACCTGTGTTGCCCTGTATCACTTAATACCATTGCTGTGACATGATCTCGGACCCAGTCCATAATCCTTTTCCAGGCTTCTCTAGGCATAAAGACTCACACTGAGTCTAGCCCAAAGGAGCCCCACATCCATACCTACAGAAGCTCTGCCATTGGCTGTGACTACTCAGATAGCTCTGACGTGGAGGACTTGCAAGGTGCTGTTTGCATTGGAAGCAGAACCAGGCGATACAGAGATCCCATTGCTGGACCCCCTCCATCAGTTGTGCTGGCCACGTCTGCTTCCTAAACACTGGCAGTAGTCCTGCTGGTCTTGTTCCCCACTCCGTGCCCGTCTTTGAGGGTGAATGTCTTCTCCAGATAAGACAGGGTAAATGAACAGAGGGGCAGGTCTTCCCAGTGCAGTGGGAGGTGATGCCTCTTTGGGTGAAGAGCTCACCCCCTTTCTTTGCTCCTAGCTCCCCGTCAGGGAACTGGGCCAGCTGCTGCTTAGCTGCATAAATTTACAGTCCTCTCACACCAGCTCATGTTCTCTGCTTACTCTACAGTCACCTTTTTTGTTTGGCCCACAAGAAAAAGTTTGAAGTGATTGCCTGCTATACCTGAAGTGCTTCCAGACTGCAGACTTCTTTCATGCTTACAGATTTGCATGGAAAGAGAAGGCTAAAAGCTTTCTAAGTTGAAAGTTCAGACTTTCACTAGCTCTAATGCTAGTCGGTTGAGGTTCCAGTGGCTTCTAAATACAGCTAAGGGAGTTTTAGCAGAAAGATATAACTAAATATTTCACCATGTATTCATCTTTCAAATTTGATGGTTGGAAACAGCCTTAGTAGTCCCTGGACCGAAATTCTCACTTGGGGTCTTACCCTCACCCCTTTGGGGGAATGAGCCATAATGTCTTCAGACACATTACGAAGATGTCTGCTGACTTGATTTCCCAAACCGCTCCCGATGAGGTGTTTTATTTGAAGGGAAAGAACACGTGTCTTTAGGCCGACAGGTTCCTCCTGGTTTTACAGAAAGCACGTATGTTTTGTCCACATACATAATGCTGTGCGGAGAAGCTGGGCGTCCGCCTGGAGTGCCACTGGTGGAGACAGGTCGTCAGGTGTGGAAGGAAACGGCTGTCTGCACAGCGTTTCCGTCTGGGCCACGCGTTTCCATTGTGCAGGGCTTGGGCTCTCGCAGTAGCTGTTTCCTTTCTGAGAGTTAGAAATTCTCTTATCCTCAATCCTTATGTCTGGAATATGGCAAACACCATTTTCAACACACAAGGTAAACAGTCCACGCGTGATAGAATTGGAGATGACATGGTTTGGCTCTATCATAAAGTAAAAACACTCATTGAAGAGAAAAGGGAAGATGGTCTTTGTATTTTCTTTTTTTTTAAATAATAGTTTATTTCTCCCCCCTCCAAGTTCTTTTTTAAAAAAATTATTTTAATTGTCATTCAAGTACAGTTTTCTGTCTTTTACTCCCATCCCAACCTCCCAGCCCTCCCCACCTCCCTCCCGATCCCCCCCCAGTTCTCCCCGCCCCCTTAGTTTTTGTCCATGTGTACTTTATACTTGTTCCTGTAAACCCTTCCCCTTTTCTCCTGAAATTCCCTCCCCTCTCCCTTCTGGTCACTGTCAGCCTGTTCTCTATTTCAGTGTCTTTGGTTGTATTTTGCTTGTTGGTTTCTTTTGTTGTTTAGGTTCCTGGACTTTGTATTTTCAGTTGGCAAATAGATTCATATATTTTTTCCTCCAAAATGTCTCCCATTGATCAGAGGAAAACGTCTCATGTTTTGCTGTTGGACTTATGGGGGTCATGACTAGCCTAGTTGTAGTGGTTCCACTGAATTCTTTGACTGGCCAACCTGCTCAAATGCAGTGTCTTGAATGGTTTCTTTTCCCTCCTGCATGGCTGCAGTTCCTTCTCCTAAGACACTTCTGTGCTTCTGACACTGAATCTATTACTCTGTTGCTTTTGCATCGTAGACTTCCAGGTCCTACTGCCAGGGTATCCGCTGCAGGCAGCGACGCCAAAGCTCGCGGAGGGTCAGCTGCTGCTAACAACCGACGCAGCCAAAGCTTTAACAACTATGACAAGTCCAGACCAGTCACCTCCCCACCCCCACCGCCACCACCAAGCAGCCACGAGAAAGGTGAGTCACCTTTGGGGTTCTTTTTGTCATCTTTCTTATAGCAGATCCAGTTTCTTTGGGTGAGTTTAGTCGGGGGCGGCGTTGCTGATAGGGTTGTGGGAATGGGTCCCAAGGACGTACTTGACTGGCAGGAACTTTGTTAGCAGAGGCATTAATAAAGTGGGGAAATAATTGTTACACAGATTCATAGTTGCCAGCAAGAACAGCTGTATTTGTGTGGGTGGGGCCCATAAGAAACCTGGCTGCAGGTAGAAGCAATGTAGATTTGCAACTTAAAAATACATTTTCATAGAGCATGCTCTGTACAGCAGGTGGTTTTCCAGAAATGCAAGTTTCTTGAGGTATGCATTTTGTGAGCTAATAAGCATTTCACCCATCAGAAATGATGTAAGGGAAGTGACAAGGGAGTTTCCACCCCTTGAAAAGAGTCAGAAATGGGGGCTGGCTAAATGAAGATCTTGACTACGTTTAAGGAGTAGGCAACGCTGCTCTTGGTGTTCTGGTGATGGAACTTTTACTAAAAAAGGATATGCTTTTTTACTATACACAGCACTGAGGTTTTAGGATGGAGATAAAAAGTGAGTCGCCCTGTGAGGGTTCTGGCACAGAGGCGGTCAGAGCAACTTTTGCTTGCCTCAGCATGTCTCTCGCTGGGCATTGGAGAAGATGAGAGAAACTAAGGCAGCTTAGAAGATTCTTCAGTAAGGGCAGAGCTCCCTTTCATTTCTTCCAGGCAGAGTGGTCTGGGCTTGTTGGGGGGACACGCTCAGGTCTCATAGACACTTTGTAGGGTTTGTCCTGCACGTGCCTTCTTCTTGCAAGACCCAGGAGAGCCGCCTCTCACTCCCTAAAGTGCCCCAGGAGCCTGGACAACCCTCTGACTGCCAATGAAATCAGAACATCTCCCACCCACGCTGCAGCTCAGGATGACTTGGTTTAGTGGAGCTGGATATCCCCTTCCCAGAGTAGCAGAGAAGATGTGAAGGAAATTTATATCAGGCTGACAGATACATATGGCAGAAAGTTTCCCGGACAAGGCACTGGGAACTAACTCTGTACCTAGCAGTAAAGCTATCACCAGGGCGTCTCAGCCAGTCAAGACTGTGAGCCAGCCCTGGGTTTCTGCCCCAAGCAAGCCATTCTTCCTCTTCTCTCCTCCTTTCCCCTCACCTCCCTTCCTTATCTTCACCATCCCCAAGTGCTTTTTTAAAACACTTTTTAAAAGATTGTGTTTGTTTATTTTTAGAGAAAAGGGAAGGGAGGGAGAAAGAGAGGGAGAGAAACATCAATATGAGCGAGAAACATCCATCGGTTGCCTCTTGCACACACCCCACCCAGGGACTGAGTCTGCAGCCCAGACATGTGCCCTGGTCGGTAATTGAACTGGTGACCTTTTGCTTTGTGGGATGACGCCCAACCAACTTAGCTACATTGGTCTGGGCCCAAGTATGTTCTTTTTAAAAGTGTGTTTAAATTACAGAAATAATATATGCTTTTAAAATGGTACAAGTATATATCAAATAAAAGTTCTCTTTTATGTGCTCCCTGAAGTATTCCAATATAAACTATCCTGTGCATGTCCTTTAGCACTTTCATATATGTTTATGTGTGGGTATATGCCCATTTAAATATAGAGAAAGGTTTTTGTCTTTTATATAAATAAGTAGCTAAATTTTATTGAGTTTCTACTATGTGTCATTGAATTCCCCCAAACCAGCCGTGTTGATCCCCATCTTACAAAGGATGAAATGAAGGCAAAGAGAGGTTAAGCACTTGCTGAGTTCACCCCAGAGAGAGAGAGGTGTAGTGGGAAATGAACCCAGGCGCTTTGGCTCCAGAGCCGTGACTAATACTGTGCTTTTCCTGGACATGGCACAGCAATGCTGGAGGCCTCACCCACTGTGGGCTGGTTGCAGATGCATCGGATGAGCTGGGGGGGAGCTGGAAGATGTGAGGGGAAGCCTGTGCCCCCTGTCGGGCCAGCCCACCCTTGTCCCATGGTCATTTGAGGAGAAAGTCTCATATATTACATGGTCTGCAGGATGGATGTGACACCTTACCAGGGGTATTCAACATTTTGGCATCTCTGGGCTACACTGGAAGACGAAGAGTTGTCTTGGGCCACAGATTAAATACATTGTGACACGTAATCACTAAAAAATCTGATGGTGTTTTAAGTAAATTTACGGTTTCGTGTTGAGCCACATTCATAGCCATCCTGAGCCGCGTGCAGCCTGTGAACCACAGACTGGACACCCCTGAATGAGGACAAAAGATTAAAAAAATCAAGAAAAAAGGTCCTTGTGGATGGAACAGGTGTGGGACAGGGTCAGTGGCTGGGACCGTGTCCTTGAGCCCATCACAGACCAGGGCCACTCAGGCAGCCCAGCCAGCTGCTGTCCATCAGCGCTGGGACAGCCACCAGCCTACCTCTGTCCTGGGCGGGAGTTACGGTGTGTGTGTGTCAGGCAGCCAGGGAGCCCCGAGGCCTCCTAACAGCCCGTGCTGCGAATCCAATAGAAGTGTCACCCGAGGGGAGGACTTCGGTGTCAATAGAAGGGAAACAAGAAAGGGACTTTGATGTTCACTTTCTTACTTGATCATCACAAAGATTCTGTGAAGTAAATAATACTGACTTTATTGTACAGATAGAGGAAACGAGGCTAATGGAGATTTCGTAACTTGTCCTCCCTGGCAGTTGAGCACTAGCGTTCATGTCCAGGTTCAACTCTGGATTTGAACTCTGGCTCTGGCCTGTCCCCTGGCATGTCTGTAATGAGGATCAAGTGAGGTAACATGCCTGAGAATGTGTTGTGAGCAGTGATGCTCACAAAGCCTTGTTAAGGATTTTGAGTGATCAGAGTAATGGACGGTGATTCCAGCTGTGTGGGAGCTGGGATAAAGCAGGCCTGGGACAGGTCTGGATATTTTTCGTACTAATACTTTCCCACCATCCTGAGGTGAAAAGACCGTGTGATTTTTGTATTTCCTCCTCCTTTCTTTACGGTCCCTAAGTTCTCCCTTGAGTCTGGTCTCAACTGCAGCTGTGTGGTAGTGAGCCAGCTTACACACAATACTTAGCATGTGCCAAGGGAGCAGAAAAAACCCGACTTCCTCGCCACGTGTAAGACACGGCAGGCACTCGGTGCACGAGAAAGCGTCCTTCACCCTGAGAAGTCTTAGAGAGAGACACGCTTGTGAGCAGGTACATTGCAGTTCAGGGTGGTCGGTGCTGTGGTTGAGGTACGGACCACTTTCCGAAGAGAGCGAGTTAGTGGTATAATTTCAGAACCTGCCTGTCCTCCGCACTTTCGTGTGAGTCAGTCCGTCCCTGACTGCATTACGTCCTGGCATTCCACTCCTACGTGAACCAATTCACATGGGTTTTTATTTGTAACCCGTTGGCTCAGGAATTCCACACCTAGCAGTGGATCTAATCACATCAGTGAGTGAAGTGAGAAATGCATCGTTCTGTTAATAAGTGACAGAAACATTTCAACAGTCATGATTTTTTAAAAGGAGCTAAGAGGAATAAAAAAAAATTGTAACAGGCCATTCTTAAAACCCCACAGAGCACTTTATGCTTTATGGGGAAATGCTAAAGGCTTTTTGTTGACATCATGTCCAAAAATGCAAGTCCCATCTTGCTAGAATCTGTAAATTTCCTTCTGATTATAGTGGTCCATCACCTGTGTTGGGAAACAGAGGAAAAGTTGTAATACTTCATGGCTAGAAAAACCCGAGCACTCACCCAGAATTCGTCAGCCTGTTCTGTAAGGTGACTGAGCACACAGTTGATAGACATTAAAACCAGGAATGTCCCGTGCAGCACCACATTCTGTGAATGCTCCCATGGACTTGGAGCTCAGATTTTACAGTTCGGGGAGTCTGCGGACGGATCCTTGGCTTTTAGGAAAAGCTGCTAGTTGTCATTATCCGTCTCAGGGTCAGGGCCACCGGTGGCCTCATCCCCTCATTCATGCAGGCAGCCCTCGCAGGCTGTGGTTAGACTCCGCCTTGCTGGCCCCTCCTGAGACTTGTCAGCGGGTTCTATGTCAAGGTGTCGAGGAATGCCAGGCACCTGCTGGCTGTTTACTTCGTCTCTTGACTCTGAGTGGCTCTGAGGCTTCAGACCAGAATCAGAGATTTTCAGGGGCGAATGACTTGTCTTCCTTTCTTTTCTTTTCTTTTCTTTCTTTCTTTTCTTGCTTTCTTTCTTTTTCTTTCTTTCTTTCTCTCTTTCTCTCTCTCTTTCTTTCTTCCCCCCTCTTTCTTTCAATTTCATTTTAATTGTTGTTGCAGTACAATTTTCTGTCTTTTACTCCCATCCCAGCTGACCCACCCAGCTTTCCCCTCCTCCCTCCCATTTCCACCCACCCCTAGTTTTTATCCATGTGTCCTTATACTTGTTCCTGTAAACCCTTCCCCTTTTCCCCTGAAGTTCCCTCTCCTCTCCCCTCTGAACACTGTCAGTCTGTTCTCTATTTCAGTGTCTTTGGTTACATTTTGCTTGTTACTTTGTTTTGTTGTTTAGGTTCTTGTTAAAGGTGAGATCATCTGGTATTTGTCTTTCACCACCTGACTTATTTCGCTTAGCATAATGCTCTCCAGTTGCATCCATGCTGTTGCAAAGGGTAGGAGCTCCTTCTTTCTTTCTGCTGCATAGAATTCCATTGTGTAAATGTACCATAGTTTTTTGATCCACTCATTTACTGATGGGCATCTAGGTTGCTTCCAATACTTGACTATTGTAAATTGTGCTGCCCTGAACATTGGGGTGCATAGGTTCTTTTGGATTGGTGTTTCAAGGTTCTTAGAATATAATGACTTATCTTTTTCAACATTTGTGACATTATCTGTTTTCCTTCCATCGCTTCATATCCTCTGAACGGGTTAACGCTGCCAGAAACCTAGTCCGTTGCTGCCTCATTAGGTCCATCATGTGGATCTGTGATGTTTAGTATTCCTAGACTGAATTCTGTGCATGTGGAAGATACTCT